AATGCTACACACCAGAAAACAGGCACTTTATTGCTCCTGAAAAGCATGCAGTCATCATTTTCCTCAGGGCATCCTTGATCTCCTGATTCCTGAGGCTGTAGATGAGGGGGTTCAGCGCTGGAGGCACCACCGAGTACAGAACTGACACCACCAAGTCCAGGGATGGGTAGGAGATGGAGGGAGGCTTCAGGTAGGTAAATATGGCAGTACTGAGAAATAGAGAGACCACAGCCAGGTGAGGGAGGCAGGTGGAAAAGGCTTTGTGCTGTCCCTGCTCAGAGGGGATCCTCAGCACAGCCCTGAAGATCTGCACATAGGAGAAAACTATGAAAACAAAACAACCAAACAGTAAACAGACACCAACCCCAATGAGCCCAAGTTCCCTGAGGTAGCCTGAGTGTGAGCAGGAGAGCTTGAGGATGTGTGGGATTTCACAGAAGAACTGGCCCAGGGCATTGCCCTGGCAGAGGGGCAGGGAAAATGTATTGGCTGTGTGCAGCAGAGCAGTGAGAAAGCCAGTGGCCCAGGCAGCTGCTGCCATGTGGGCACAAGCTCTGCTGCCCAGGAGGGTCCCGTAGTGCAGGGGTTTGCAGACGGCAACGTAGCGGTCGTAGCACATGATGGTCAGGAGGAAATACTCTGCTAAGATGAAGAACACAAAGAAAAAGAGCTGTGCAGCACATCCCATGGTAGGAGATGGTTGTGGTGTTCTGGAGGGAATTGTGCATGGCTTTGGGGACAGTGGTGCAGATGCAGCCCAGGTCTGTGAGGGAGAGGCTGAGCAGGAAGAAGCCCATGGGGGTGTGCAGGTGGTGGTCACAGGCTACGGCGCTGAGGATGAGGCTGTTGGCCAGGAGGGCAGCCAGAGAGATGCCCAGGAAGAGCCAGAAGTGCAGGAGCTGCAGCTCCCGCCTGTCTGTGAATGGCAGGAGGAGGAACTGGGCCATGGAGCTGCTGTTGGACATTTACTGTTCCTTAGGACAGGGTCTGTTCAGAAAAGGAAAGCACAGGGAACAATTAAGACACCCTCTCACCAAAGCCAGGGCAGTTTTCAGGGAAATCCTCTCCAAGGCTAGGCTTTTCTTTTCTCTGGTTTGTGCTCTCTGAGGGTGTGTGAGGAGCAGGAACTCTGCCCATGTGCTGCCAAGGACTCAGCTTTGCTCTGCTGCAGTGCAGACACAGAGCTGGTTTGGGACAGCTCTCATGATCACAGGGGATGTCACATGGAACCCAGCTTTGATGGAAAAGTTCAATTCCTGTACTGTTGGGTTGGAGCAATTTGGGCTGCAGAAGAGAGGCACAGAGTATCCTTAAAATAATTTTGACTGGCTTTTTGTTTACAATCATAACTCCTGGTTTTTTAGGGTCAAATTTTTCTGATGACAAATCTGAAGAGTATTGAGACAGGACAGGCAGAAGGACTGAGATCTCCGTTGCTTATTGCAGAGCCAGGAGAGCTGCAGTGCCTCTCAGTCTGTTTCCCATCTGCCCTGCACTTTCCCTTGGGCTGCCTTGAAGAGGACTTCACACACAGATTCATCTTTAAAAACCCCACCAAGATCTGTGCTGAGAGCAGGGCAGCGCTGCTTGAAAGGGCAGCTCTGTGAAGTGTCCCCTGTGCCAGCCCAGAGGTGCAGCTGTGCTGGACAGAGCAGGACAGGAGCCCTCCCGCAGAGAAGCCAAGGGCTGGGACAGGAGAGTGCCCACCCCCAAGGGAAGGCTCAGCACTGCCCAGGATCCTGTGCTCATTTCTGAGACTGCCTGAAATATTAATCTCTGAGAGGAAAAGAGTTGGAATTTCAGTGCAGCCTCCTGAACTGAGAGAACAATGTCTCTGCTACAATGCCTAAGCAGGAAACACACCTCAGGACTAATTCCTTTCCTGTAGCCCCTGTCTTTTGTGAGCTTTGCAAAAGATTCTCCATTCAATATGGTGTAGTGGCCTTGAGCTGTGAGCAGGTCTGACCCTGCAACAGGGAGACATGGAAAAGATCCTCCCTCAGCTGCCAGGTTTGCTCCTTGCCCACAGCCCTTGTGCCCCAGCCCTGGGAGCAGCTCCCCGGGCTGGCTGAGAGCTGCCCCTGGCAGGCAGCAGAGTCCCTGCCCAGCACAG